AAGAGAGAGAGAGAGAGAGAGAGAGAGAGAAAGCGAGAAAGAGAGAGAGAAAGAAAGCGAGAAAGAAAGAGAGAGAGAGAGAGAGAGAGAGAAAGCGAGAAAGAAAGGGAGAGAGAGAAAGCGAGAACTCGATGCGTTCCGAGTGCAAATGTTAAAACTACACGCCCGATCCAGTGGACCAAAAAACGATTCGCCGCCTGAATTCTACGCCTCCTTTTTGACTTTTGCTCCCCGTTAGCGTCCGATAAAGCGGATTAAGATGCTAGGAAGTCGATAGGCCAGTTTCCAGGTTAATCTGTCGTGGCTATAATCAACGAGAGTAACTAGACGAACCGTACCATGCTCCTCCTGCCCCCGATCCTCTTGTTAAATCATCCGAGTCACCGTAATCTCCTATAAAACAGAAGGGAAAAAAAGGAACGAAAAGGGCAGATGAAAAAGTACGAAGAACGAATTACCGCGTCGTTATGTCTCGATTTTGCGGAGACGTATCTTTTTCACTTGTAAGACTTTGTCTCCTTCGACGTTTAATCGTTGTCTCGAGGGCTGAAGCCATCTCGTTCGCGAATACAAACGCTGCGCACCAAATACGCAACACCGTCGCGATCGCACCGTTCGAAAACGTGGTATAAACGAAAATGAGATAAAACGAAAAAAAAAGAATGAAGAAAAAAAGAAACGAATGGAACAAAGGGACAGAGATCGTCTGGGATGGCTAACTATAACCGAGTGTCCGTGATGTCCAATCTAAAACGGTAGTAAACGAATTAACGCGAATTGTACCGCAAAGGGATCCGCTTCTGAGTTACATTTACATCTACAATCCAGATATCCATACGATAACGTTTAAATAGATCTAAGATGAATGTCACAAGTAATGTAAACTGAGAATAATGAGATGAAATAAACGAGACGATGATTCAAATACAACAATGGTATATTTTCTGACGTGTGTGCCACGGTTACATAGTTGTGGACAGCGTTCAATTCGTACAAAGTATCGGTTTCAAGCAGTTTACAGCTGTGGTATCGTGACACGAGACACGTTTGATCATTAACAGTAAGTTTATGGACACGTGAACATCTCTTTCGCTCGGATATTTGAATATCCTTAGGACTCGTGTTACTATTTGGTCCGATTTTACCATTTCTTTTTATTATATAAAACGTTGTTGTATATTACAATATTTATATAGCTACGGTTTTAAGCAACATTATTGCCTGGTATAGTTATTACAAAAAGTGTTTTGTTAGAACACTGAAACCATTCGTAGTTTCCATGAACTTTTGTTCGGACGCAATTGTTGATCGAATTTCATTAAATAATCAATAGTAAAATAACTTCGTGACAGGAAGTTCTTGAACATACAGCAGAATAATTGGAATGCCTTAATATTATTTAGTCATTTGTAGCAAACACATTTATATTTCTTATTTTTTTAGTTAGATATGTTTGCGAGTAGTTACATTCGTGTATTAATATTGTTTCAAAATTCAACAACTTTCTGTGAAATACTTGCCTCCATTAAGTATTATAAATATACAATTATGTTTGTGATCAGCCGAGTCGCCTAGACTTTATAAATGTTCGTAATCAATTGATAAAGTTTTAAATAAACTTCATATAACATTTTCCTATTACGCTATAATCAAAATTGCATAATATTTAGTTTACTAAAAAGAGGAAACTAGGTTTTCATTAAAACGATTTCAATAAGTAAAACGAGATCTTTCTATTTCCAGTAAATTTAAACATGATCACTATAGAACATTTTGTTGTTTGAACTATGTTCTGTATAAATTCTATATAAAATTAACTAAAGACTTCTCGTTATTCATATAGCTCTTAGACGGAAAACCCGACAAGACCTTGATAAATGTTTATCACAGTTTTGAATATATAGGAAGCATTTTATGAGACCACACTGTAGCACTTTTGAAATCATTTTTTATTCACGGTGCCTTCAAGTTATCTAAAAGTTATAGCAATCTTCCAAGAACTTCTTATATCGAAAAAAAATCGAAACAGTTCGTTTCTCGCAATATACATACAGAACGGTTACGTTGCTATTAAAAACTGTGAATCTCTAGCTTTGAGTAAATCATACCAAAAATCATTAATATCTTATCAGAAACTAATGCCCTTGTTCATAATAAAGTTTATAGTTATTTAAACAACAAACATTTTACATCTCATTGTACTTCTGAAAGGTTTGTATAACTGTCTCTTCATTAGAATAAAATGTATAAAGTTAGAACAATTAATACTCTTTTCACTGTATTAAGATCTTTGTGTTGAATCTCATTCGCTCTTATTAAAATTTTATGGGACGAAATAGCGAAGGAAGAACGATGTTTCTTCAATGAAGGCTAAGTAAAAAACTGTAACAATGAAATACCAGGAAAAATAAATAAAGTCATTAACATTTCGACGATTACTAAAGATGACGTAATAATTGAAGCGAACGGCAGGTATATTATTAAGCTTCTCTTAAATGAATATTAGTAAACAATGATTTAACTAAGTACTGTTACATTTTAGCTCAAACTATAAATTCGTCGGGCAAAATAATTTGACTTTTCAATTGTACTAATTTTTTTCCAATGTTTAAAATTATCCTAAGTTGAATTCTTTCCTCTGTTAATCAAATTTGAAATCGAACAACGCGCGATCACGTGTTCTGACAAAGAAGCATTAGAGATGAAAGCACCTAGTTTTCGTATGTAGTACATCCGTGGGCGGACATTCATCGTTTTATCTCCGCCGAGATAAAGGGTGACACGCAAGAAAGCTGCTCCATTAATTTCCTAGCAAATATCACGCCGTCCGGAAAATTCGTGCTCTTTTCAATGCAGTGAAAGCATTATCCTTTGCTTTCCCAAGGTACATGTTTGATCCGATGAGCGTATAAACTTCAAGATATTTTTTTTAAACCAACTGAATTACATATAATTCTTCTATGTTTTTCATACGATAGGAAGTGTTTCTTGTTTGTAAATTACAGAAGATGATGAAACAAGTTCAAACTATTTCGCGAGTGATTTTCCAAGAATCGAAGTCACATGAACTGTTTACGATTAAGAATAGCAAGTCGATATACCGCATCTACTAAATTTGACTTTTATGTAGACAATGAAGATATTGAGACACTTCTGTTTACTCTGGCATGGCGAAAAGTCGTTAAAGTTTATATTGCCTCGTCCATGTTGTGTCATTTCAGGCAGCAAAATTAAAATTGAAATATTTTTCAACAGTTTATTGGTATAAACATATTAACAGTATTTTATCTCGTGAAAAAGTATTTGATATTAATCAATAGTATACTAAAACATCCTTTTTTTAACCAGCATACCTTTTCGAAATATTTATAATAATAGATTAGCTAATTAGTTGCCAATTTTATGCACGAGTATTATAATTCTTCTAAAAAAATGAAACTGAAATACTAATGAATTTACTTACGAGTGTTAATACTTGAAGAAAACGTTCAATTTACCTAATGCCTTACACGAGTATGACGTATATAACGTTTTGTTAATACTGTCGTAATCTTTTCATTATAAAGGAACACATTATACGAAAGTTCATTGTATTCAAAAATTATAATAAATAAATAGAATATTAGTAAGAAGAATATGAAAAAAGGAATAAGAAAGTAGAAAAAAATGAAAACTGAGAGTTCTCGTAGAACGAGGTACAAATTACAATCTAAGCCTCGAATCTATATATCAAAATAGCACAAATTTTCCGGACGACTCACTACATCACGTAACCCCTTTCACTTGCTCTCCTTTTATATTCATTGCAAATGTGACTGTTACAACGAACTCGTAACTCACAACTTGTATATACCCAGTAGGACTCCGTTAATTACAATATCCGGAAGACTAGAGGACGAGTTCGATTGTACGTACGGATCACAGTGAAAACTTAATACTGGATGGTGACCGAGACCATTAGAACGATCTTGCTGGTTATCCTGCGTCTCCTTGCACTTTCTGAATCAAAGATAAACTAAGGTTAATCGCAAACAGACGAAAGTAGGAAGTTTCGTTAAAAGTAAATGAAAACGATATTTCAGTCTTGATCTACAGTAATGTAGTATCGTTCGCAAAATCGAGGCTGCACCGTGAATATTGTCCGGGCAAAAAATGTTTTAGAACAACAAGATAAATGAAACAAGTAATACAGTATAATTTGTATGCACTTTTGATATCACAGTATCTAAAACAATGTTTGACACTTGTTTTTCATTTGTGCAATTATCCATTTTAAAAATACCACTTGAAATTAGAGATTACAAACGAAAAATATATATCTTGAAAATTTATGAACTAATTGTGTATTTCATAAACAGAAAAATTATGTGTGTAAATAAAGTTTAAAAAATTAATTATTTAAAATATATATTGGAAAATAATAAATTTTTAAGAATGTTTATATAGATAGACTTTGAAATATTAATATAGTATACTATTAATATAGTGTTAACATTATAATGAATTAAATTTATGATACGTAAAATTCCAAATTTATTACGTTGCATAGTAAAAGACACAAATTTGTCATTAGTACATAAATTCTTTCAAATAAAATAAAACTAAATGAAAGTCATCATGAAGATTATTTCTCAGTCAATACTGGATCATTTAGAGCATCATAAAGATAATTTCTCACTCAGTAGTGGATCACTGTGACCACTCAGCATTGCATTTAATTCTATTGTCCCGTATGACCTGTCGATTAATCATGAAGGTCTCAAGAACTTCATGAATTGCGTGGGAAATAATGTATTCAATGAAAAGTCCGGCGATGACGAAATTATGAGAAATTATACTCATTGTTAAATATAAAAGGGAAGTGCAACGCTCGAAAAATACATGATGTATGTACATATAATAACTACACCTAGACTATATTTGATATAATTACACCTTTGTATTAAATTATTTCGAAAAATTTACAATTTATTATTATTATATATAAAATGTATTATAAACTTCTTTATTTATTATACCGATTTGCAATACGAATTTTCCTTTATACAACAGTATTTGATAAAAATACATTTCCAATTTCTAGAAGTACCTAAATAAACTCGAAGCATATAAATATTTAAATAAACACTTCAAAACTTGAAAGTGGATTCTTAAAGACTGGAAACTTGATTGACAGCGTTCGTTTGGTTAAACAGAATTCCACCGAGTGGTCCGAAAATCAAGAGTCCACGGGCACAGGTCAACGATCAAAAGAAATCCGAGAGGTGTTTCAAGTGTTCCGGATTCTTAGAATGAAACTACAATTTCGCGTTACAATATCTAAAAGCGATATCACAGTGAGACGGCGCGTATTTATAAAATGGTGTTACACAAATGCATACCTCTTGTATGACGCGCTGGCAGTTCGACCTTCTATACCCAGAAAATTCAGAACCTGTTGCTTCGTGGCTGCAAGGCGCAACATTTTTTGGGTGTACAGCTCTAAAGCCGCCCGCCTCTGTTCGAGCACCTTTGGCTGGCAGTTTCTTACCTTCTTCGGTGGGAACGGAGCTAGCTCCGCGTTCTCTTTTTTCAGCTGCAAATACAGATTGACATACTTAGGAGAATCCTGATTACCATCGTACAACACAGAACAGTAGTACAGTAGACACCTCGATAATTCCAATCTCTACAAGTCGAAAACCTCTAAAACACACTTTTAGTTTAATCTGCTAACTGTGGAATTTAGTTTGAAAAATCTCTCGTGTAGCGCGGAATAAAATGAAAAAATGAGGTGTATATTCGTGAAACGCAGGACAAATGCACCTAGGGTATATTTTAATGAAAAACCAAAGCAAAACAAAATTTATGTTTATCTGAAAAATAAATAATTCATCGTTGAAAGAATTAGTATCGTTTCAAGCTTTAAGATGACATGTATACTAGTCAAACGCAGTTAACTGGTTATCACTAGTTTACGGACATTTGTTCTACCTTTATTCTATTGTTCCTAGATGGTTGTCTATTTTAATTTAAGAATTTAGAGCTTCAAAGATAAACAAGTAGTATATATATTCGTGTAACTGTATCAACCAAAATCGATGTAAATGTTTACCAAATAATGTTTATAAAATTCAATAAACGTAAAATTCACACGTTAGGTTTACACGTAGTGTTATTAGATGTTTTACCTTTACAACTCGAATTCAGAATTAAGCTAACGTTTACAAGTTGAAATTCACATTTACATAGAGGTCAAAACCTTTATGAAGCCTCTGTAATTGATGTTTATTATTATGATCTTATGTTTTCTCTTGCGATTCGACTTATCGAGGATCGACTGTATATGGTATGAATACAATATTACACTTTAATGATAACTCGTGAAACCTCAATTTCTGACTCTCACAGAATTATACACGAAACTGTAGACTATTAAATGTTAAACGTTGCTAATGACCTCAGATATTAAAGTAACGTTGTAAAAATTTATTTTAAAAACAGAACATTTAGTACAGTCAACGTGGAACCGTTTTTATTTAACTTTTTACTTAGGAGACAGAATGTTACAGAACGAATCCAGAAATATTTGGAAGACAAGAAACTAGGATTTTAATTAAAATAGTTACTATTGTCAATAACGCATGTAAAAAAAAGACTATATTATTATTTCAAATGTTTCAATAAATCCTACTAAAAGAGTGGGAACACATTTTTAAACATTGTATGGATTATAAAATATTATTTTTTAAATTAATTTTATTTTATTTCAATCTATATTTTAATTAAATTTTTAATTAGTAAAACGATTAAAACTCAATTTAAAGAAGAATTACACTCGGCATTAACGAGTGCAAGTGCAATTGAACAAGAATATAATCGAACAATTATTTATTCGTTGTTCGAAATATTTGTACTGGTAAAATATTGCTGTAAAGTTTTTAACACATTATCTTGTCACTCTTTTCAAACGCTGAATCTAATGAAGCTTATTGGTTCTCTTCGGTAAATTAATCACGAATACGTAACTAAGTCAAAAAAATAAATTGGTATGTTATATAAAAATATATACATCAAATAAATGGATATTTGTTAATAGTTGTATGCATTTTTATACGTTGTGCGTGTAACGAAAACAATACATACGTTAAATGTAGAACAAAATCTTTAGAATGATCACTGGATAGATGTAGGAGTGAACAAACAAAAAGGAATATGAGAACTAACAACTTTCATAAACAGTAATATGAGACTACGAGCATTCTAACTTGAACAGTGATGAACAGAAGAGAATTCTGATAAATAATAAATAGATAAGAAGTGAACCTGCACAAATTAGAAGCGTACTCGTTCGCACTCGTAAGAACATACGCAATATATTAAGCGTTACATATTATCACTAATTGTTCAACTAGCTTATGTAAATGACAACATAAATAATAACGATAATAATTATAATAAACTAATTGAATTCTTTTACACATTTTAATGGAATACTTACTCCAAATAATAAGTTTCCATAAAGCACAGATCATACAAGAATTTATAGTTTTTGTTAAGAGTTTTCAGGATTATTTGTGTAACATGTAACATCAAATTGAAATGCAGAAACAAAGTCAACAATCTAATTATTAGTACAGAAGTGAAAACAATAATAAGAACTTATTTGTGTAATCGATCACAATATAACGAAAAATAAAACGATTTTACCTCGAAAACTTATCCACAAATACGAAGCAAACTAACATTTAATTTACTCTAAAAAATAGAACTTTTGTTCTATTTTTGTATGTAACTCAACAAATAGTTGAAGAAAGTTACAAACATTCACAAAATATCAAGAATTAATTTTTGGCCATTTCAGATATCTTTTAAAGTAATTAAAAGATAATAAAAAAAATATAATGTGAAAATTATGAGAAGAATCGCAGGTACATTTAATGCTACTTACAAAAATTTGTAACAATCACGAGTTAGAAGTGCTGATACCCAGTTAGCACAAATCCGCTAGTTAATTTTTTGCTCGCTGTGTGAATTACGAGCGACCCGACCACGCTTTAAAAGACTATAATACTGACCGCATATGCATGTTTTACAAATGGCTTCATCGTGAGTTAATTGCCACGGAACGCCAGTAAATCACAGAATGTCGTGACAACGATGAAACATACCATTGATACGGCTAATCGTGGCACGAAAAAAAGGCGTCAATGATATGACTACAAATGAATCATTATATCTGCATAAATATTTAATAAGTGCACTCATAAAGTTTAAATAAAGAGTAATATTTTCAGTCTTAATAACATTTGTGTAACAAAGTTATCATTATTAGAAAAGTAAATAAATATAATAGCAATAATCAGACATTATTAACTACATTAAAATTAATTATTAGAGTCATTAAAAAGAAGAGTTGCTATAACTTTTGATGCTATTCAAAGAATAAATATACGGTAAACTTTATAAAAATTCCATGATTTTAATTTCGAAATGCGCCGAAGATTTACTTACACCTTCTATTTATAACCTAATTAATTACACAAAGTGGCAATAGTCAGTTTTCAATGAAGTCCTTTCATTTTATAAAATGGCACACTTAAACTCACAAAATGTCGAAACGGGACGCGAAGTAACAGAACAAAAGCAAAGGCAGCTGACCGATTAAGCGCGGTTTTTTAACGAATGAGTGCGTTTAATAGATTCAGTGGTGTATTTATAGCGTGTTTTCGGAAAGGCGTTGCTTTTCCAAAGGAACGAGAGTGGCGTGGTCGCTCCTCGACCCGCCTTGTTTTGGCAGGGGAAAACTTTAACGCTGACTTTTTGACAAGGTGGTGCTTACAATGCAGATTTCACGTCTGGAGGAACGTCCGGCAAGCTAAAAGTGCAGAGGGGCAAGGGAAGACGTCCACTCGCGGCGCTCGGTTCGGTAGTTATGGCAACAGTGACGCCTCAGTTTCGGAACGCCCTTATCATTGGCCAAATCGCGCAACAAAGACCGCAAGCGAAGCGGAATGCGATGAAGTGGATTTTGTTACATCGCTAGGGATTTTTTTGTTTACGGTTTTCATTGGTTAAGTGTAACATACTGACCAATAGCAAATTATTATAATTAGTGAGAGAAGATGAAAGCTGCCCAATGAAATCCGCATTCCTTTCAAAATTTGAAAAAATTAAAAGATTTAGAAAATGTTTCATTAATAAACGGAAAAGAATCAGCATTCCTTTATCACTGGAAAATTTCCTTACAAAATAGTATTTCAAATGGTGAATGAAGGAATATTAGAAAATTATAATGCTGAAAAAGGAGAATCTACGGAGGTCGAATGTCGAATTTTGCTTAGTTAGGCACACTAGCTAAATATATGTGAAAAAAGACTACAAATGCGCAAACAATAAACCGAGACAAGCTATACTGCATATCTGTGTGGTTATACGGGGTGTGCCTGAAATCGCGATACAGTAGAGCAAAAATATATTGTAAGAAAAGAATAACTTTTTTCATTTAAAGTTTCATTTTTGACGAAGATAAGTTTCAAAGTCCGGTTTGCATGTACTAAGAGTCTCGATTCAACGGACACTTATTTCTCGTGATGATCGTATTTATAAACATGAGCAATGCCATCATTTGCTTCCTGACGTTATTATTATTTTACACTACACTCATTGATCTCCATTATTCTATATTTGATTGGAATGGTTTGTAAATAAACAAAATACTATTATTTTTTCAAATTTATTTTATTAATGTAATAAATGCTCAAAAAGTCAACAACCCATTTTACACATACCAGTGTACCTTTTTAACTAAATTATTATATAAACCTTGCAATGTAATATATGTATCTTTTACAGTAAGACAATAGCAACAACTAGATGCAAATCATAGCACGGTTAACAATTTAAGTATGATTAAAATAATATTATAAAGACGAATTTTATAGCTCATTTTTTTAGGAAAATGATGCCATAAGTAAGAAATAATTATTATTTCCTTTCGACATATATTTTTTACATGTAGAATCATTCCCTACTCAGATGTACCACATTGTAGGAACATCCTATATAGTCACACGTGTTCATGTATGTCCAAGTCTCTCGCTTCTTCGTCACCGTCCATCTTTGTCTTCGACCGCACGATACTAGCCAAGAAGGGTGATGACAAAATCACTTTCACTACTCTCTAACATCTCACTAGCTCTCTCGGGTCATATGACACTGAATAATGGAAAACTGTACCAGGAAACAATCGCAAATAACAAATAATTTATTCCATAAAATAAAAAATAAATTCATTATTTCAAACGAATAAATTCAATTGTTGTTTGAACACCTCTGATTATTTATGTTGTTTCAATAATACATTATTACATATCTTAGATAATGTTACAAATAAATTTTGAAATAATATTATTCGGAAGTTCTTCAGAACGCCAAGGTTTTACCTGATTAGATATGTTTATAAAAAAAAATATTGTTTTATTCCAGGAAAATTTTTAATCGCAATTTACAAATATATTTTTAGTTAAACGTCGTTAAAGGAATGTGAATAAAAGGATGAATACTTTTATTAGAAATTAGAGCATGACCTAGCTTTAGAAATTACCTATATCAAGTCATCTCATCTGCAGGGTGACCCAATAATAACTGACACAATCAGAAAGAAACTTATTATACATAAAATCATAGAACAGATAACACTATGTAATAATAGCTTCGGTAATTACACAGTCCGAAACTGCTTAAATATTTTTCCTAGCCTCACTTTTATACGTCAATGTCCACGGATGGGCGATCTGTACATGCAGTACACCTTGTGTAACGCAAGTGTGAAAATCGTGACACTGTTGAAGGCAATATACAACACAAACAGGTGTATATCACGTGTATTCCGTCACGCATGCGTGTGTTTCAATAAATGATAGTACGCGTATATTGTGTGCATCTCACGTTTAGTCATGCGAACGAAACTGAATGAAAAAAGAAATAGTATATGTGTATCATTGTCTCTGTTCTGTACATTGATAAAAAATTCTAAAGGACGGATATACTCCTGCCTCGTTTCATCTTACTCAGCAGCACGAGACTCATGACAAAGATTCTGCTTCAGCTGTACAACTATTTTTATTGTAATATCTGTCTTCGAATGAAATAAATACTAGTGGATTGTCGACATTATACTATTTCTATAATACCTAGTTCATTTCGAGAGACAGTACAGCCGGATTTAATGATTATAAAAATTGCTGATGTCGAAATAAAAATAAAAACAGTCATTCTGACTGTGTTACACAAGACTCGTATAAGTGAAGTTTGTCTAGTTGCAAAAAATTCTAATTTTTTAACTCCTCGCAGAAACGATTGCTGTTTCAATAGAAATAAAAGGAAAATAGCGTACCGTACGATGTAATGCGCTGAATTCGCTGTATCTTCTCTCAATAAAGTATCGAGTACCACTTTCTGTTTCCAATACTTCAATACAGTAAACATAATAGGGCTTGCCGTGTGACACTTCAGCCAAACGGTATCTGCTGATGAAAACTTGATACATTGCATCGCTAGCTACTTTCTAGTGTCTTGAAACACGCGCGATAAACTGCTATTACAACACTGAAGTGAAACAGTATGAAAAACGTAACGCGTTGATCGCTCTACTTTCAATCTTTACTGGCGCCTGTCAACGCAGTTAAGAATCTATGTGTTTGTTTCGTATGCACTGTTTATTAACTGTACCACTACAGGAAAAAGGTAGTCGATAGTACCAACAATATAAACCTACATCAACGATTCTGGTGCAATTGTCCCATGTACCTGGAACACTTAAGAAAAGTATAGATACACTATAATCAACAGCGTTACATTGTTTGTTAGATTCTCTCAAAAAGCGAAATACATTAATAATTGTCGATCGTCGTTTTTTTAATGAGTATTTAATTTTTCCTAGATAGTGGACACCAAAAATACATGTCGCGTCATCTCGAGTAAAATATACGAACTACGTCACAAACTTAAGATATTATAGTATAGACTGTGTATACAATGTATTTTTCTGTCATTGTTGAACTACTGGCACTGTCAAAAATGTCCCGAACATTAGCGAACTCTACCTGAATCTGACGGTCAACTATTGAACTATATACGACTACAACATGAACTGCAACCGTGCTTGGGAGTGTACCTGTCTCTTTTTGAATACTTTTACGTAAATATTTGTGACGATATGAAATAAAAAAGATGGAATAGATCCTTTTTTGTAGATACTAGAAGATATAAAATGTGTATATACGTCGAATCAATGAAGAAAAAATATTGTATGTAATTTCATTCATGTAGTGTCGGCATCGTAGAAAGTGATACCACAATAGTAAAACGCTCTTTCACAAAATTTTGTGTCTTAACTATAAAATTGAAAAAAATTCTTTTTGTAAACATTTTGCCTATACAAAATGAAATTATCGGTACAATATCAGACTAATTAAAATATAACAATTTCAAAAATTACAGGGAGTGATATTAAAATGATAAAACAGTTTTTTGCTCAATTTTGCATCTTAAACTTCGCGTCGCTAAAAATCCTTCTTGCAAACATTGTTTTTATGCAAAATGAAACTATTTGCAAAAATTTTAGTCCCACCGGATTTGTTAGGTTTTTAAGGGTATAGCCGCCGTGGTATTACATAATTTCATGTCTAGACAGAGTTCGGGTATTTTTGGACTTTCGTACCATTTCAATGCCATGCTCGACTTTATCGATGATTTGCGAATTTAGATGGGCTAGTAGTAATCAAACATCTTATATACTTCATTTCTATTAGAATATGCATCGCGTACGGCGCGTATATTTGAACGACAGAAGTGGCGTCAGTTAATAATAATACTACGGAAATACGGTTTTCATTGACTTATGAACATAAATATTTTTGCACACATATTTATATAATAAATTACTTTGCACATATAATAATTTATATTTATATGATTATGCTACGGTTTAAATCTCTACATAGATGGGAAAACTCTGCATCAAAATGACACGATGCAAGTCATAGAATTTTCATGCGTTGTGTGCTCGCTTCAATAGCATCACACGAACTTTCCGTGATGTACTCACTTTCAGGTTGTTCACGCATACTGTGGAAATGGAAAGTCACTATATACATGGTTAAAAGTTGAAGTATTTAAAGAGAAAATCTGTACTTGACGTCTTATGTTATACTTACGTGTTAGTAGAAGATGAAGTTTTAAGTAATGCGTTTATTCTTTATCTATACTTTATCCTAAAATAATTTGTACATTTTTTAATTATATTTGTGTTCTTTTTGGGAATTTCTTTCTCATCGTTGAACAAACTAATTTATCAATATTTATCGGTATGACTAACATATCGTAAGATTCAGTGCTACATTAAGTAATTATAACATGTATCATGGCACTATCACTGTTCTTTGTACCGAAAGAACAATGAAGTGATGAGTGTATCTAAATGTTCGTGACATTTTGATCAATGATTTTGTCTCGATTGAGTTGTTTACAAATACTGCCAATGTGTGTTTTCGTTTGACAATAAGACTATGATATTCATCATATATATACATTATGTACACTAAACGCACTAAAAATTGTGATGTCTAGCTTTGGTAATCCTCGTATTAAATTTTTAAGGTAAGTGAATATTGTTTTATGGTTAGGTTACACGTGTGAGACATAAATGACAAAACATTATAGAAAAATTATTAATGAATCAGTAGATGTATATATCATTTTTACTGCCATTGTTATCCTTTCAAATACTGTTATTAGTTTTTATTTCTTAGCATATTAATAAGCTTTTATTACTATCATATTTTCAATATTTTTCCATAATTCTATTGTCTATGTTATGTTATTTTTCATTTTTATAAGGTGGCTGTGTATTTTTATTGCATTTTTCCATTATGTTAATCTATTTCTTTGTTTTCTTGATCATATAATGTTAAATTCTATATAATATAATACTAACTTAATTGATAGATATATTTTTAATATATTTCCTATAGGATTTGTAAAATTTTGTAATTAGACAAACAATGCCTGCAAAAAATATAGCTGATTGGACACAAAATGATGTGGCAAAATGGCTTGGTGAAATTGGCCATGAAAAATTTTCTTATATTTTCTTGGATCAGGAAATTGATGGTAGAGCCCTTTTGACTTTGAAGGAAGAAGATTTAAAATCAGACCGTATGTGTATAAAGAAACTTGGTGATATAAAAAGATTGTACATTAGTATAAACCAGTTAAAAAGAGAAAACATGGCAGTATTATTTGAGTTGGGATATGTTGACTTATTTCCTTCACCGACCTTTTATAACCATCATAAACAGGAAGTAAGACAATTTTTTATTCTTTTTTTAAATTGAAATTATTAATTGTATAGTTATATGTAAAATATGTAAGAATAATATCATATAAGTCTTTATATTTTAATGTAACTATTATTTTTAGATACCTAGTACGGGATTAAATAATGAGGGTTCTATAGAGAATGAATTTTATTCTGCATCTGTGTCAGAAGATGGCCATGCATCACATTTGCCACCAGAAATTTGGAAAGCTTTTATTAGTTTGGCATATTTATTTATTGTTACATGGATTACTGCTTTTGTGATGGTCATTGTTCATGATAGAGTGCCTGACATGAAAAAGTATCCTCCATTGCCTGACATATTTTTGGATAATGTGCCACATATACCTTGGGCATTTGACATGTGCGAAGTCACAGGAACTATACTTTTTGCAATATGGCTCATTGTACTAATTTTTCATAAATACAGGTAAAAGTGTTCAAAGTTTATATAAGCTATAAACTTTGGTTTCAAATACAAAGTCAAACAAACAAAAATTTTAAATAATTTATATACATTACAGATTTATTTTATTACGACGATTCTTTGCTTTATCTGGCACAGTCTTCCTATTAAGGTGTGTTACAATGCTTATTACTTCCTTGTCAGTACCAGGCGCACATTTACAGTGTCAACCACGAACAGTTTCTGATGATTGGTCAAGGTACATTATTTTAAACAAACAGTAATAAATGGACATATACATAATTATTTTTGTTTAACAGTTCTGCATATGTTGATCTATATAATAAAATTGCTATGGCTTATGTAATTTGGCGTGGGGCTGGCATGTCTATTCAAGGTGTTAGAACCTGTGGTGATTATATGTTTAGTGGCCATACTGTTGCTCTCACTATGTTAAATTTTTTCATTACAGAATGTGAGTATTAAGTTTAAAGAAAGTTTATGTAATAAATAGGAATAATATTCAATAAATATTTTATTTACAGATACACCAACACAATTGTACTTTTTACATACTTTTACATGGATGCTCAATATGTTTGGTATATTTTTTATCTTAGCAGCACATGAGCATTATTCCATTGATGTTTTTGTAGCTTTTTATATAACTTCTCGACTATTTCTCTATTATCATACATTAGCAAATAATCAAGCCTTAATGCAACGGGATTCAAACAGAACCAGAATATGGTTTCCATTATTTAGTTTCTTTGAATCTTCTGTTGATGGTATTGTTCCAAATGAATATGAGTCGCCGTCTTTGATCATTTGTAATTTAGTATGTACAGGAAAAGATATTTGGCACTTAGTGCGATCTTCAATTTGCTTCCGTAAATCATTGCGCAATGTAAGTGGTAGTGTTAAAAATAACACAAAGAAGGATCGCTAATGGTTATACCAGTTTTATATTTATTTGATAATAAGTTTGAGAATACTAACTTTATTTGACAACTCTATTTACACATTGAATAAAAAAGAAGAAAAATGAAAATCAAGTACCTCTAAGTATTTATTTTTCTAAGTTACATGATAGTGACCTGGCTGATATAAAAAGAGCTTTCTGCGGTTCGTCTAGATTTTTGTACGATTTATCAAATGGTCATCCATAATATAATAGTTCATTTAGATTATATTGTTGCCTTCCAAAGTAAATTTTAGTAGATAAAAAGTTATGTTACTCCAGAGTTTATTAACTTCAGTTTCACTTTTCCTTTGATTTTTCGTGTTTAATTAATATCTTAGAGTATGTATTTATTACGTTAATAATGAGAGAAAGTGTTTCTTTATATGTAGATATAATGTTAAAATAATTGACTATACAGTGTTATATCGCTTATGGTTTCTAAATAGATGTAATATTATAACGTTAAATGTGATGATTTTATATAGAGATAACGAGTTTTCCACCTACTATAAGTCTTAGTATTATATTTTTGTTAATGATGGGGGTATTCTGGTGTAGAAGTGCCTTTTTAGAGTAATTTTTGAAATTTTTTTAGTAACAAAGAGAAAAACGTATATGTTTCATTTTCTTTTAGTTTCACTGCTTTTTTCGCTTTAATTAGTCAGAACAAAAATTTTTGTACAATTAAGGTATTTGTAGTTTTAACTATAGCGACTGATAGATATATATAACGCGTATTTAAATAAGGAAGCTAATAAAGCTTGTAATTTTTGTGAAAAGCATGCGAATAGCATGAATTGAAAGATTAGGTTTTAAAAAAATTGCACTTCAATTTTTATGAAATAAGCAATTACATACTCATGATGACACTTACCTTAATTTGCTATATCAGGGTTTATAAAGAAGACCTTTTTCGCAAAATGGATTATACAATGTTTCTTTTTCTCTTAGAGATATTTTTTTTCTGTTTTAGCAGTGTTTGACTGTTCTCGTTGAGAGCGATCAAGATCTTCGTAATTTGTACGATTAACAAATTCTTTTGCATTTATTTCAGTTTTCATTTGCATTCTTTTACATTATTTTCATTGAAAATGGTTACTGCAAGATATATTGCAATATCAAGTGTTTTCATGCTCCGTACGAGTTCAAGTTTTTTGTGCACTTTTTCTTGTATAAGTACTTCTCTTTTGCATGATTAACTGTCCTTTTTAAAAATTCAAAAATACTTGCGTCAGCTTCGTACAGATAATTGAATGTCTCACATAAGAAACGAGAAGGAACTAATTTCACGTGACTTTTATCAAAGTAAAGGATAAATACAAAACTATCATCATGTGCAAACTTAGGTGGGGTCGGTTTATGGCACCTATACGCCTTTCAGTGATACGAAGTTCTTTATAATTGTATAACTTTTACAATTTCAAAAATTACATGAAATCGCGTTGATGACAGTATAGAGAATAAAAAGCTGTAATGAGCTCGATTTTTTTACCATCTAAACCAGAAAACCCCCTTAACTGGATTCAAGTTCAAAAATACATTTGATGAGTCATCTTACAAATGAATGTGATACATGAACAAACTTTATTGTGACTCACTCGAACGTGATATAAACAGTGATTTGTTAAACAAATTCTTGTATTATTTTATTCTGTGACTTCTAGTATGATTTCAGTGAAGTTTACAAGTAGTATAAAACACTACCATCGAAAAATATAAATAACTTCTTTCCTTTTAGTTTGTTTATATAGTTTTTATGTAAATGCAGGATGAGGTAATGAACTTGAGTCTTGAATCTACTTGGCAAACATTATTTGTGTCTGATCGTCGTCGATCACTTTAATTGCTCTTGAGAAATCTATAAAAAGTAGTAGTGAATGGATGACTATCGACCAAAATGCTAGTGATAAAATGACAGCCATGATCAGACTTATCGTTGAATGTTCACAAATTGATAAGATGTACAAACATACGTACATACATGTATTTGTCTCTCTTTTATGCAATCTAAGCAGCGTAGGAAATAAATATTGTACATTCTCCGAGGTTTAATGGTCATTAAGAGGCTAACTTTAAGATGATTTATGACATTTATATTTGCTATAAATAGAATTTATTATAATTTTATCAGGAGGCTCTCAACGTGGTATTGTTAATAAAGTCATTAATAGAGAAATAGCAAATGAATGACGTAATACTAATATATTTATGTATTAATATTTATGTGATCATTTTGTATTAGGTCAGTACGATTTTTTGCTGATTTCCGATTTATTTTGAATATTTTCGTATTTCTTTGTATATAGACATACATCTGATAGATTTAATACCTAGTAACGTAATACATTGCGCATATCTATTATATCAGATTTTTGTAAATACGAAGTCTTCATTATCGTTAGAATTAGCGGCGACGGGTGCTGAGTTTATTACAAATGCAAATTATTCAGAGGAATAACGTTTGTTCACGATATATTCCTCTGACGATATTTAATGTTTACATGGGCGACGCCGATTTATGTATCATGCACAAATTTCATTTTTTGATTAACGAACTGTTTTTTTTATACGAAAGTACGCTTATGGACAATAAATTGTTTGTTATAATTAGTCGAGTTACATTTATATTTTTCTTTTTCTGCGAGAATCTCACGTAATTATATTTGTCGGAAATAGAAACGTCTACGCAAGTGTACCGTGTCTATAATTAAATCGGCTGTGCGCAGACAACGATGCTCTCAGAGTTAAAATGTCAGTAGCAGAAGCTCCATGCTATTCTACTTATTGATTTTTTTTGTTCTAATTTGAAAAATGAGAAGTTAATAAAATATTTGTTGCAAACGAAAAGTGTACAGTTATTTTGCTTTATTCGTGCGTAACTAATTTCCTACCAACTTTTTACTAGGTATGTATAATTCCTGCATTAATTATTTATCTGGAAGCGTACAGGTTTGAAGTATTTTATATTTAAATTCACAAACGTGTAACAAAACATATGTTTTTCATTTTCGCCATAATGTTAACCATTTTAAGCATTTTCCTAAATATTTTATCTGATATTTCAATCTTTTAATAATACTGTATTACTGGCAAAACTGAACGAATAAATAATTCTTATTGTATTTTCTGAAATTTATGTTTCATACATTTTTCTCCTGGTAAATAAATTGAACGCAAAGCAACAAGTTGATTTTACAATTTACATAAATGGTTTAGTGTAAAGAAGATACGGATATCGCGCATAATGAAAATTCGTGCATTAATAAACGAATTAACTTTAATATCAGAAGCAATAACTTTTTATAAATCGATTCATTTCAACCTATCCCGTAATTATTTATAAAACACATATTAAATCAAACACATTCTTTAAATACTTCAACGGAAGCAACGGAAATCCAGCTCGGTTTCGAATGTGAGAACGCATTAAAATGGAATGCGATTAAATATTCAGTCATCTGGTAGACATGGTACCGGGAAGTGAAGACGGCTGCCCGATCTGCGGCGATCGGTTGAACGCGACCCTTAGATGCAGTGGTTGCAGGCGGCAAGTTTATTGCAGCAAAGAACATCAGCGACAAGATTGGCCCAACCACAGGTCAGTTTGTCAGGCGTGGGAGATTCACGAGAGCCCCGAACTCGGACGACATTTATTGGCGTCAAGGGACCTGAGTCCCGGTGATCTGATTCTGTCTGAATCACCTTTGGTTTGGGGTCCGGCATTACACACGGATCAAAGAGTTTGCATTGGCTGCGGCGAACAATGCAAGTCTACCACCACGATATGCAAGTTTTGTCTTTGGCCGGCATGTGACGTGAACTGTCCTGGACTTACCGATAAGAACAGACATGGTTTGGAATGTCCGTTGCTATTCAATGCCAAGATTGTTCCTAGGTTTGTAGAGATCATTTGTTGAATTGTCTTCTGAAATTTTTCTTTCCGACATACACATTATTTAATACGTGTGTTTAAGATGTTGCATATGGTTTTATGTCCTGGAAGACAATCTCTTGTGAATATTGTGGATATGTTGATACTGTTATGCTAGAGTAGTAATATTTTAAGAATATATAGATAACATATTACATAGAGGTGCCTATACGATATAAAATAAATTGTTACTCTGAATCTGAGTCTGTTTTTCTGGAAAGGAATTGGAATTGCGGTATAAAATAAAAATATAATATATATTTAATCCTTTGCGGTTTGTTAAGACAGACTTGGCATTCAATTTCTTTTTAATGGTTACGTATTTTATCAATCTCTGTTATATCTTTTTTTTAAGTGAAAATTTCCACGCATCGCCACTACGATTACTTTTCCGTGCCACTGGTAAATACTCTATATTATTTCGAATGAGACCTAAATTAAATTTAATCGTTTCAGTTTATTTTCTCTAATGTTCATTTGCTGAATCTTAAAGTATGATGCGATTGTTGACGTTGAAATGCTGTCTGAACTGGCACTATTGTTACGTATTTCTGCATGCGGTAGTCGGGATGGCTCCAGTTTAGCTGACGCAGTTTTAGCTTATTCGCTATTATCTTCCGAATATAATTATAGGCGACAAGTGTTGTAAACGATTTCCTCTTGCAGAAAACTTTGAAATGATGGACATATGTGTACTCATGTTTCTGCAACAAAGATATGATATGAACATTTTCCAAGGATTCAATTTCTGGAAAACACTGTCTAAATATTTATAACACCCCTTAAATTTACCGTTATTTTAAAATAATACTGGAAGGCAATATTACCTTAAGAATCTTGCGAAATCTCAACAAGTTCGTTAATATAAAAACTGTTAATATGTATTACAAAGACTTCTAATCATGAATTTCTGATAGTTCATTACAATATAATACAATGTATATCGCTTATAAACATAGAAAGAATGTAGTCTTATACTTTTTTATAAGAATTATGTGATATACTCGTTAGTTCTAGTACCAATGACAAAACATTAAATAATGGTCATTGGTGTGTGCCTACAATCGCATTTATTTATTACAGGTGTGAAATTCTCTTAGTAATCCGTATGATAATATTGTGGCTGAAAAAGTCGAAACAATGGGCGGCTTTAGAAAAATTACAGAGCCATGAAGAGTCCCGCGGTGAGGGAACAATCGCGTACGAAGAGGTCATGAATGTAAGTCAGTATGTAGAACGTCTTCTACCAGACGTACAAGGAGCCAAGGATATTATTGGGAAAATTTGCGGCTTAATAGATGTGAACGCTCTAGAAACGATGCCACCCGAAGGTTCGGTGGCGATTTATGAAACCGCATGTCTATTGGAACACTCTTGTTTGGCAAACACAAGACACAGTTTTAAGATGGATGACAAGGGAAGGCCTCGTATCATCGTGAAAGTCCTTTGCTCTGTAAAGAAGTATGTTTGTTTTACCAAAACCAAGATATTCTGTAATTATTTTTCTACTTATCAACTTAACAGCTATTTTTCATTGCGTTACGTTTTGCATTCGGATATGATCCATTAATAAATAATTTTCGAATTTGTATTAGCACGAAGAACATGCATATGTCGGATGATCTCAATTTCTTTTTATTAAATGTCGTACAAGTTTTATTTCGTACAAAAGTTTTTTCAGCGTTTTTAGAGGCGTTTATAATCCTCACTTTTTTATTTGCTATATGATGTAAAAAGGTTCTTGAAATATGAATTAAAAATTGTAAAAGTACAGGTGGATCTTTCTACAATATTTCTCACAAAGTAATTAGATCGAAGCTCTGACAATTGTAGTGGATCATGTAAATATATTTATGGATCACTGTACCTGCATGTTTATATACCAATTTCAGAGGAGAACATCTAAGTACAATGTATACGCATGCACTTTGGTCAACGTTGGTCCGAAGAGCGCATCTCCGAGACACAAAATACTTTTCTTGCTACTGCAAACGATGCACCGACCCAACCGAACTAGGTACTCATCTTGGCACCTTAATATGTCCCCAAGACAACGGTTACATTTTATCGATGGATCCATTGAACTTCGATTCAGACTGGAAATGTGAATTGTGTCCTGGAACATTGACTGCTTCAGAAGTGATGGAATTCACTGGGAAATTGGAAGACGATGTTGACGAAGCTATGAGCAGGGCAACAAAGGAGACATTGGTCGACCTTCTGAATCGGTAAATTCTCTTTCTTCTTCGATTACTTTTCGTTTCACATGGTATACATACCAATCAATGACGAAAATAAAAAAGAACTTTTTTGTTTTATTGTTTGTATCATTTTTATTTTATTTATATTGCTTTCCTTATTTCTTATTTCATTTATATTGTTACTATATCAGATTTATATTATTTATTTGATTAACATTTGATTATTTATGTAACATTTCAGACTTACTACATTGCTGCATCCTAACCACCATCTGTGTATCAGTGTTAGCCATTCGTTGATCCAATTGTTACCATCAAACGATCCGATGAAAATTGATCTGTGTAAACGAATCATAGAAACTACTAAGATATTGGATCCGTACAACACAAGGTTGTCGTTGTATACTGCAGTTACTTTGCGGGAGTTGTCTGATTGTCCAGGGGAAGATAGGGAAGAACTTTTGTCAGAGGCAATTTCTCTACTGCAATCGGAACCTCCGAATTCACCTGGCGAGAAGCTTAGACTGTTAATTGAAGATGAATTATAAGTCAACTGTAATATAACGAAATTGCAAGGAATATAAAATTAAAGCACGCCAACGAAGCTGTCAATGCCTGATGATTACAACGCAATGTTTATTCTTGGAACTTTCTTTATTTCGTCTTATATTACATTTACGACGGCTACTTACATTAAAGATCCTTTTCGTTATACGACCTTACAATTATACAGTACATTGTATAACATACGATTACAGTGAACTCGTTTCTTTTTTTTTGTGTGTATGTGTAAGCAATATAAAAATTATGTCGTGATTAACTATACAGTGTATATACAGCGGCGTGCAAATGTATCGAAACACGATATTACTTTTTCATAACTCCAGAATGCAAAATTTTGTAAAATTTCTTATTATATACATGATGATTATGAAAAGTAATTTAATTTAATTCATGCTTATTAGTTTAAACGAGAGGAAAATATGTTTATTTATATGCGGATGACTTGTTTCGATTTTATAAAATAAATGTAAAATATTCCAGACAGGTATGAAAAACATTATAAATGAATGTCTTGTTAGTAGGTTGTGAATTTTTGCATTTTTTATTAACATAATATAATAAGTGTTCCTCTGAAATTTTCCCCTACTGACATGAACTGTGAATTTTGCGATTTAAAGTACAGGTTAAATTAATATTTTTATTTAAAAAATACTGTATACTCTTCAAGTATAAATTGTTAAGTCCATAAACTTTGACATCGATATATTTAATAATTTTTTAAAAATTCTTAAACATCGCCTTTCTGTTTTGTCATCAAAGTAAGTAGGTAAGTATATCTCTGTAAGAAATTAATAATTCTTTAAAACAGAACAATCAGACATTTATGATCAAATATATTAAAAACAATTTTCGCGGCTCCAATACCTTTGCATGCTACGGTAAATGTGACCATTAGCACCATGCTGCATAGTTCATTGATCGATTTCGTATGTCACATTTCATGTTTTACGTAAAAACATGAGATTAAGATTACGTTCTATTTACAGCATGAATGTGTAGTGAACAGATCGCAGAAATCTCCATTTTCATGGATAATTACAGGTGTTCGAGGAAATTGATATTTTTCTTTAATGATAAACGGTGAAAGTATTAACGGTTTTTTTTACAATATAATTATATAAGAATATATGTATCTTAAAGTAGGTAAGAAATGCAAATTCCAGGTAAATCTTACCGAATCACGATCGCTTGCAAATCTAGACTAGATTTAGCCTCCAGACGGGATAACAAGTTCTCATGTTAAATAAGTGTTATCTTTTCGTAGGAAAAATGACGTTCGCTGATATTAGGAATTAAGATATTTTCTTATACGAATCCATAAATAGACGGTTAGGAAGATTACATGTTAACGTTAATAGACTATGAGCGATATTATGTTAATTGTTTACAAAAATTTGTACCGCTTAACCTTGTAGTATTCAGCTGATCGCATTGTGCACTGGCAGAATTGGTCGAGATTTCCATCTTTCTGAATTAAATATCTTCAAAAACTAAATGCTAGTAAGAGCTTTTGTACAGCAACTCCAAGAATAGAAATATGTTTGTTGAAATGTTTAATTAGTATTCGTTTACGTTATGCCGTTCGATGATAATGATTTATCTTATATGTACTACATTATCGACCCAGTTATTAGACAATTTTTGTTCTTTTTCACTGAATTTTGTATTTTATTTTTACAATAACAGTCGATAATTTTCAGAAAAATTATTTCAGATACGGAAATAGTTGCCAGAAACATTCATGTAGAATATTATTAGATTTCTTAAATTTTTCGATTAAGTGAATGTATAATTTGACATACGATGATATTTAAATTCTGGTAAATTAGCTTATTAGTATATAAATTGAAGTAAATGAATGATAAAAGAGAAAATAGTTATAAGAACAAAATTGATGCTATTTTTTCGATTATTCGAACAAGTATTGAATTCTTTCTAGTTTGTTTAAAACCATGAAGTTCCTTACACTGTCCAATAAATATTCTCCACTCAAATAACTAATGGGTAATTTTTATACATTCAGAACCACTAGATACAAATTTGAAAATTGCTTTTTTTCATCATATTTAGACTTTGGAGGACTCAACTTAAAAAAAGATAAAATTGTCAAATTTAAAAGTCATCGCACACAAGATTAAAAGAATCATGTACAGAACCTGAGTTTTTATTTTTTGGACAGTGTTATTGAGCACGTCTCGAAAAGTCGAGTGAATTATTATTTCTGTACAAATATTATCACTTAATTGTAGCTGTTATAAGGCCAATGTACAATATCGTCCAAAGATATTTGGTCACTTGTTCCACAAACTTGTCTTTTTTAGCGAGAAACATACGAATGGATGGTTGAGCTTCTATACATGAGCAGTTAGTATATGCAACTGAATAGAAATGGTTAAACAACGGTCATTAAAGTATAGACCAAGTTTTCTTCTTCCTTGTTTCCCCTAAATTGTAAATATTCTAAGCGTAACTTTAAGCAGTAATTAAATACTGGATTCGAAGGCTTTACAGTGACGAATCGTTTGTAAGCTCTTAACACGTAAACTGGTTTGCAAAATTCGGCGGGTATATTGTGTTTTTATTAGACTGGTGCATATGAAATGTCGTTTTCCGAAATAAAACAGTGGATATAAAAACAGGGAAATAAGGAACATGTGACACAATTTCATATTTTAATTTCAAATAGTTTTGCATAGTCATTCCCATAAAGTTTCGTATTATCCTGCGATATAATTTGTTTCTACTTATTCATCTACGCTGGTCAACTTTTTCTTTACTTAACCGTAGAAATTGATTTACTTGTAAAAATGATTTCAGTTAAATATTTGGTTCTGTCATGAGTCTTTTCATTTCTATCAAAGCTGAAACTGCAATCTCATTATTCTCAATTTTTATTCGTAGGATACAAAGTATTAAAATGTTCGCTGCACATCTATTTGACAAATAACTCGTGGTTGAAGTTTTATTCAAGAAGATAACGTTTCACATGCGCCATCCCAATAAAAACAAAGAATTATGCAGAGCGTGTGGCTGACAAAGTGCCCGACACTGATCATTGGTTATTTTTATTTATTTCATGGGAACTGTTCGTGCGATGTATACAAGTACGTCGAGTGCGTACCCCTAGTAACGGATAGGACAACGATTGACCTTTCAGCTGCGCAGTGATTTGTAAGAGGTAAGCCTTGCCTGGCTGCATGCGCGTTAAGGTGAAGGGTAGTGCGCGGTCTTTTGGCGGGCTTAGCTTCTCTTCGCACACTTCGAATATATACTCGGAACGTCGTCGACGATGAAGACCACATTGGTCCGGAATCGTGGTTACACTGGCCAACGACGTTGAACTTCTTAATTCCCGCGCCAGAATGCAATACTTCGCTGCGCCCGCCGATTCCACCCCTACGGTTACCCCGTGACAGGTCCTCAGGGATCTATACTCTCGCGGTGCGCTTCTGGATGGTATCTAAATTAAAAGTTCATTGTTTCTCATGATTCTTTTAAGCATGCGAGATTTAGTATTAGCAAATTTATTAATATATTTATTATTAGTAAATTTATTATTAACCTCTTGACATAAGTTTTGTTTCATAACCGCAGTCGCCAGAATTAATTTGTCATTAATAATTTTCCAGGCATAAAGAAGAATTCTATGCTCATTTATATCTACGTTTACTTTGAAGAAAAATAATTGATATTAAAGAAATAACATTTGTTTAATTTCTAATTTTTTCTTTAGGTAATTTGAGTGTCTGGTTAGTTTTAAGTGGTTAGGTTTAATTTGT